CAAACTTACTTTTATTTGAAATAAATAAGAGTAAAATAATTGATAATATGGATCTTGATCGATGGAGAATGATCGAAGGTAGCTCAATTATCCGGCTCTGAAGCATCAACGAATTATCGTGAAGATTCTTTTTTTGTCGATGAGGGCTCAGTTGACAATAAGGCGCAATTGTGATGAAGTCACAGATTGTAGTTGAAACAGGTCTGGAAATTTCTATAGACGATTGGATGAGGGAAACCGCTAGTGTAGAAGAGAGCATGGCGAGCCGTGGATGTGTTCTTAAGAACAATAGCAGGTCGCAGCCAGGAAGACAGGCCCTGGAGAAGTTCGGTTTGGTTAAAAGTTCTTCTTGCCTAAGCCCATGTTAAGTGGAAATGCGGGCTTCTGATTGATGTCGAGCGATTGATTCGGCTTGACGCGTAAGATCAGTCTGCAAGATCCACTGGTAGTCTTGATACAGATGGCGATATTTAATCAGTCAACAGGAATGAGTAGGATTTATTAGCTATTTTTCTTTAAAGTGAGTGTTCAAAAGTAACCGCGAATGTTAGGTTACGAAACGAGCCGCGGTAGTAAGAAAGAGTAGGGATAAGCGATTGAGCTCTGAATTAATAAGTGCAACCCAACGAAACAAATATTGTAAATGCGAAATTTTATTCGACGATAAAAATGTGGGAAGAATAAAGTTAAAACATAATATACAACCAAAATAAGTGGAAAACATCTGGTAAATCAAACTTAAAGTCGTGTTTGAGAAAGCAATCTTTTTTAGCATTCATTATTCCCAACTTAATGTGCTTGAGATGTTTTGTTTAGAAATTTCCTTTAGTGTTGACGATGTCCATTAACAAATAGTGTGATTGATCAGTTGGATTGTACAATCCGAACCAATATGCTCGAGTCGATCAGTGAGATCATCTCTACTCCGAAGTCGTAGATTAAGAGATAACCGATCGAAGGAGCTCTTAGAAATACAATTATTACAGGAGAAAAAGAGAACGAAATAAAATATAGCGCGGAAAACAAAAGCTAAAACTAGGCGCATTTCCATGCAGATAATTAATGCATTGAGAAAAGAAAGTGAAAAGACAGTATCCACCTTTAATAATAGCTTCCCTAGCTTTTTTTCCATGAGGGAGAGTCACTCGTTTACTGGGACCCGCGAGCTGCAATCGACTTGCCAGGTTTTTGAAAACTCTGTCAATATGTGCTTGCTGTTCCATAGAAAGAGCAGGGCTGATCTCGAATGATCCTCCAGTAGTGGAATCGGCTTCCGACGAAGTAATAACGTGTGTCGATGGAGAGGGTTCAGGCGAGAGAAAATCCGGACAGACAGCACAACAAGCCATACGCCAAACCGCCTCTTCAACAAGGAGCCCAGCTTCAAGCATACGCAGCCGAAAGATTAAGAAGCCGTGGTGATCAGCTGATAGAAAAAAGTGTGTAGGCAGTGATAGGGCGATTTTGAATACAGGATACCAACAGGGCAAGAATACGAAGTGAATAAAGGTGAGAAACTATATAGAGAAGCAATTACTATTCTTGAAAAATAAGCTCAATAATTTCGATAATATAGATTTAAAATTTTCTTTAATGGAAAGAGA